AACCAGACACGCTTCACGTCAAGTGGAGAGAGGCCGCTTTCAGATGCTCTTCTTCTCTCTGTTTAACAAGCGCCACTTCCAATGGAAAGTTCTGGAACCCGGTCTGGAGCCACACAGAAGAACGACACCACAGCCAGGAGCCTGGCTCCCTCCTAGCAAGCCCCAGGGCTGGGATGATCCCATCGAGGTGGGACACAGCAGCTCCAGGTCTTGCGAAGTCAGCCGAGCCCGGGCATCTCAGTGGCTTCTAGGGTCAGCCAAATATCCACGCTTTTCCTTGCTCAGCCAGAAACGTGTGGGGCAGGAAGAGGTCACCGCTGCTAAAGGAGAAAAGCTGAGGAAGCACCCCGGGGCTCTCTGGCACGGGCTGGCTGCCAGGGGAAGCAAAGGCAGGCGTTGCTGTTCTCAAGGGCCGCGGCCTGTTTCCGAACCAGCGGGCAAGCCCCGGGGTGACCACAGCTGTGGGTATGCTCACGCCTGCACCAGTCAACAGCTGAAGACCTCAAGCCACTGTGTCACCTGTCTCCCGAGCTAACCGCTATCCGGCCTGTGCCAATTCCTCCTTTCTCCAATTTTGCCCATGACCGGGTGGTCGCCACCAAGTGCCAGGGCCCGGGGCCCTGAGAGGAGACGTACCCCAGCAAGCTCCTGCTAGACACGGTCAGACAACACTGAGGTCCACAAAAGGCGCACACGGGGATGGCGTGGACACAGAACCGGAGACGCATCTTTGGTTCGATCCTTGGCGAAAGGCGTGAAAACAGCGCGGACTCTAAGCGTGTTTGAGGAATGCTGCTTTCCTCCAAGAGGATACGGTGCTGAGTTTTTGAACACGATCCCTGCCAGGCAAGCCCTCTCACAGCTCACAGCAAATGAACTCAGCTCTAAGCCACCCTTGTTATCTTGGCAGCTTGAAAGCCACACTGCACAGAGGTAATGGTGCCTTCCAAACGCATCCAAATTCAACCTCAACCTTTTCTCTTCCTAAATAACCAGCCGTGGCCATATCCTATGCCTTCCAGAAGGATCAGGTCATGCTGACACAACGGGAGGGACACGGGGCCAGCTGCGATCAAGCCCTCCTGCAGGCCACGGGAGGCCACCGGCCACTGAAAACATCACGTGGGAGAGCTTTCGTGCCCTCCACGCTTATCCTTGCGTGAAAACATGAATTTGGTAGAATCGCTTCTCGTGGTCTCTCCAGCCGGGTTGTTTTTTTAATTACGTTACTTCAATTTGACATCACATAAAGAAACACCATCTTGGGAAAAGATCATTGAACCATTAGCAAGGTCAACCAAAAAAGATGGCAAAGGCGTGTCCCTTTGGCCCCTTCCTTTCACCAGGGTCCCCACCGTTTGGATCGGTCTTTGCCCGGATGCCCCCTTCCACTCAGAGGGGGTGGTGCTGCTTCCTGTCTTCCTCAGGCAGCAGGCTCACCAGCGACCATGGTCTGCGAGAGGAAGGGGAGCGGTGGCCTGGACGAGCCACTCTGCGATGCCGCCTTCAGTCCCCGGGTGACTGGCTGACTGCTGAGAAGATCACCAAGTGAGGAAAGATCTCGTAACAGTCTGTGATCTGAGAGCCCAGCGGCCGGTGTGGGGTTTTCACCCAGCAGCCCAGCAGTGGGAAGTGGGCAGAGGG